TGGTTATAGGTGTATTGTGCAGAGTGATTTCTTTCACCTTTCTTTTTCTGTTAGGCCCATTTATCTCTTACAAGGACAACTCAACAGATAAGGTTTGTGGAATTTTTAGCACTTTCAAAGAATATTTGATTAAAGTCTGAGAGAAAAGGATGAAAACTTTCATGTTGCACAAGTATTTTCATTAGGCAGGGATGTAAAAAAAAAGCTAATTCCAGCCCAATATTTTTTTAAAAAAGAAACATCAGTGTTTATTTAAAATGCAAATAGTTTTATTTCCTGTAGGGGCATAACCAAAAAGCTTTTTCTACTTCACAAAGCTGTATAGATCAAAGCATACCATTCTGGACTACGTTGCCTAATACTTGTTTAAGGAGACCTCTGAATCTTAGTTCTTTCATCAACTGCTGACTACAAAGGTTGAGCTCAGAGATTCCCAAGGTAGTAGTATTGCTATTATCCTGAGTGCAATTCCCAAATACCCTTGGCAAATTTGGAATAAAGAATCAGTTGCGATGGCTGGAACCTGGCATGAATTCAAACATCAGAGTCACATCTCGCTGAATCTTTGCACCATCAGCTTTGGGCAGCTTCTTCAGATGACCCTTTGATCATAGGTAACTCTGTTCAAATATTTAATTTTATACTTAAAACTTGAATAGCTCCGTTTTCAGTTGGAAATGAAAAATAAGTTCAACTAGATAAGGAAAGTTGAGAGTTGATCACTATTTAGAGCAGGAATAAGATGTCCAGGCACCTCCAAATGTTTTTGAGTCCTGTCAGCTTCATTCAAGAAAGCCATTGGCAAGGAATTATGGGAAATGAAGTTAAAACACCCGACAAACTCCAGATTGTCTTCTATTGATTTAGAGGCAACATATGATAAATATCTATGGGACACTGCCTTACTTCTAGCACAAAGTCTGTCTTGGCTATATTGCTCAGAGAAAGGAGTGGATAGTTCCTTTTCATTGTCTTGCCTTATGCCTGACGAAGGATTTTGGGGCTTAAAGGTTACACACCCTCCTTTGTTATTTTGATTGTGTAATAAAAAATATCTACTATAGTAGGGATGGGCAAATATGGCCCCTTTATGACCTGTGGACTTCAACTCCCAGAATTCCTGAGCCAGCTTGGCTGTCTCAGGAATTCTGGGAGTTGAAGTCCACAGGTTGTAAAAGGATCACAGTTGCCCACCCCTGAACTATGGAGTTTGAATTTCCCATGAATCAATCAGACAACACAAGTCTCTTATTCCCATATCCAAATTGTTGGGTTTTTTCTGTCTTTGGTTTTGAATACAGCAGGATCATTAGTAAAAACAGAGGTTTATGATCTATCAATGACTAACCAGTTTATTACTCCATATAAGGTTTCATGGATCATAGTCCATGCCATAGCTTTTTTTACAATGCGGTTCAAACTGCTTGGCATATTACATATTGGTAACTCCTGTTGATGTATTTACTTCTGAATTTTTCATTTAGGATTTTACAATGAATCTTTTTAGTTACCTGGAGAAAGCAAAACAGTTTAATTTCCAGGCTAAAATGGTGATTCTCTTTTCCTATTGTAAGTAATAGTAGAGAAAGGTAAAGACATTTGCAGGTTATTAGTGGACTAGAGGGTGCAATTTGGCTCATGATTCAGAATATGTAGTCCATGAAAATGGCCAATTCCCACCACAGCAAGTTTTGAGGAGTCCTTGGTATTTTCTGCTCACTAACGCTATTACCTAGTTTGGGTAATGAAACGTCTGCGAGAAAACAACCAAGCCCAGAGCATAAAGGACCCCTCATTTCAACCCTGAGCTACAAATATTCTCCCCTATTGGTACAGCACATTTTGTAATGCATTGACTGAGGGAAAGAGAGGCCAAAGAAATAGACACTACAGCTTGAATCACATTTATTTAGAAGTTAATTTTTTTTAGAGCTTGGGGAATTTTGTTTTTAGTCAATAAATTTGGAATGTATTGAATCTATAGGGGATTGGAGGATAAAATATATAAAGAATGATTGCTGGAATTGGGTATGTCTAGTTCAATGAAGAGAAGGACTAGGGGAGACATGATAGCAGTGTTCCAATATCTGAGGGGTTTCCATAAAGAAGAGGGAGTCAGGCTATTCTCCAAAGCACCTGAAGGCAGGACAAGAAGCAATGGGTGGAAACTAATCAAGGAGAGAAGCAGCCTAGAACTAAGAAGAAATTTCCTGTCAGTCAGAACAATTAACCAGTGGAACAGCCTGCCTCCAGATGTTGTGAATGATTCAACACTGGAAATTTTTAAGAAGAGATTGGATAACCATTTGTCTGAAATAATATAAGGTTTTCTGCCTGAGCGGGGTTGGACTAGAAGACCTCCAAGGTTCCTTCCAAATCTGTTAATCTATTTCTAATTCTATAGAGAGCCACTGTGGTCTAGTAAGTAAGGTGTTGGCTTAGAAACCAGGAGGCCTTGAGTTCTGGTGCCACCTTAGGCATGAAAGCTGGCTGGTTGACTTTGGACCAATCACCAGGAGACCATGACTTTGAGCCAGTCACTCTCTCTCAGCCCAACCCAGTATTATGTATTTTCACCACCTTGAGTTATTTATAAATTAATAAAGGTGGGATAAAAATCAAATAAACACAAAAAGAATGGTTGCTGGAATTGGGTATGTCTAGTTTAATGAAAAGAAGGACTAGGGGAGACATGATAGCAGTGTTCCAATATGCTCTCTACTTGGGGCTACCCTTGAAGACCACTCGGAGGCTTCAGCTGGTACAGAATGCGGCCGCGCGGGTTGTGATGGGAGGGTCCCGATACTCCCATGTTACACCTCTCCTGCACGACTTGCATTGGTTGCCAGTTGCCCTCCGGGTGAGATTCAAGGTGCTGGTGATGACCTATAAAACCCTACATGGCTTAGGCCCAGGATATTTGTCGGATCATCAGCAACCAGCAACAGCTTCCCACCACCCGGTGCGTTCTCACAGGGGAGGGCCTACTCAGGGTGCCATCGGCTAGACAATGTCGGCTGGCGGCTCCCAGAGGTAGAGCTTTCTCTGTGAGCGCGCCCACCCTTTGGAATCAACTCCCCCTGGGCTCCGGTTGGCCCCTGACCTTTGCACTTTCCACTGCGAACTAAAGACATGGCTGTTTAAATCGCCCAGGCTGGACTGATGGGATTTGATTATTTTAAATGAGTTTTAACATACGTTTAATTTGTATTTTAATATGTTTTTATCTGGTTTGATTTTAATTGTGAGCCACCCTGAGTCCTATGGAGATAAGGGGGCATACAAATCAAATTAAAAAAAAAAATCTGAGGGGCTGCCACAAAGAAGAGGGAGTCAGGCTATTCTCCAAAGCACCTGAGGGCAGGACAAGAAGCAATGGATGGAAACTAATCAAGGAGAGAAGCAACTTAGAACTAAGAAGAAATTCCTGACAGAACAATTAATCAGTGGAACAACTTGCCTCCAGAAGTTGTGAATGCTCCAACACTGGACGATTTTAAGAAGAGATTGGACAACCAACTATCTGAAATGGTATAGGGTTTCATGCCTGAGCAGGAGGTGGGACTAGAAGACCTCCAAGGTCCCTTCCAACTTTGTTACTCTATATCAGGGATGTCAAACTCGATTTCATTGAGGGCCATATCAGGGTTGTGTTTGACCTTGCGGGGGCCAGGGGGAGTCATGGCCAGAGTGTGTATGGCCAGCTCAACGTCACTCATGTTGGGGGAACCTGTGGTGGCCCAAGCACTCTGCCAGTGAAAATGGGCTCCCGAGCTCTGTTTCAGCTGCGACAGCCTCCTGCAACCTTCTGCCAGGGAAAACGGAGCTCCATTTTCGCTGGCAGAGACACTGCGGGCCAGTCCTTCGCTGTTTCCAGGGCAGCCCCATGGGCCAGATCTAAGCACTGCATGGGCCAGATTCGGCTCCCGGGCCATGAATTTGATACCCCTGCTCTATATTCTATGAAATAAACATAATAATGATAACTTTGCAAAAGTGGACTTCAAAATGTACTGCCGCACACCATCTGGCTCTTCACTCACCCTGAACCCTCTCAAATTCTTTTCACCTTCTTTCCTTGTACTTGGATGGCTGTCAGGTGAGTGCGTGAACGGATCCACAAGCAGCAGCCCTGAAAAACGTCAGTGGGTGAGATTCCTTTTATGGACAGCTCAGTGCAGTGATGGCTAATCTTTTTGCCATCGCATGCCAAAAGCGGGGAGACCACGGGGAGGTCATCAACACCCATAATTCAATGCACCCAGCCCCCGCTCGTGCGCATGCGTCCTCCTGCGCCCCACCCTTGCTTTTAGCATGCAATAGCATGGTGGGCCCAGTAGGCCCGTTTTTCATCCTCCCCAGGCTCCAGAGGCTTTCTAGGAGCCTGGGGACGGGGAAAATGGCCTCTCCCCCCCCCTCCCGGAAGCCCTCCGGAGGCCGGAAACAGCTCATTTCCCAACTTCTGGTGAGACCAAAAGGCCCAAAAATCACCTGGCCGGTGCACGCATGTGCGCTGGAGCTGAGCTACGGCAATGTTTGTGCGCCCACTGATATGGCTCTATGTGCCACCTGTGGCATCCGTGCCATAGGTTCACCATCACGGGCTCAGTGTATTGTGAAGGGGGAGAACGGAGCATCCAAGTGTATCACTAGGAAAGGTGGATGGTGGGGGATTTTAGAAAAGAAAATACACAGCCGGAGACTTCCTGCTTTCTGCAAGGAAGTTAGTTGAACCAAAGACAGTGAATACCCAGTACTCTCCCAGCTGTGTGAGAAGGCAGATTTGGGTGGGGGGAGGAATGGGGGGGGGTGTCTGAGGACCAGGCCTTTTGAGTTCCTTGGGAGAAATTTGAAGGAGGATGGTGAGCAAGTGGGAGCTTAACCAAGTTTCTTAGCTCTGAGGGTACAGGAGGGTTAATTAAACTGTTGGTCCCTCCCTTTCTGAAACTGGTTGAACCACTTTCTAGGTGCACTCACTGGGCACTCCTTCTTTCCACTCCCAGCCTGAATAGTTTGCCTTTCCCGCTGTTCTTTTTCCTCCACTTCCTTTCTTTCAGCTGGGTTTGCTGTAAATCTGCATACTGGTTTATGAGGGACCCCCTTTGCAGTTGCCAATTGCCGTTGCAACCTGTGCTTTGGGAGCCTTATTTTCCCCCCTCTTCAAGGGCTCCCCAACTCCTTTCAAGTAAGTGCACCTCATTCAGCAGCTCCAGTCCCATGGTCTCCTCTGGATTGAGCCGTTGCCGGCTGGCCCTTGCATTTGCGGTGTTCATGGACGCTGCAGGCACCGGGGCACTGCTGACCGGCATCTTTGCTAGACTGAGGCTGCGAGGCCGAGACTTTGGGGATCTATTAATCTACTCGGGTGCGGTGCTGGTGTTCCTGAGCCTGTTGGGTTGGATTATGTGGTACACGGGCAATATTGAGATCGCCCCTGAAGAGCTGGCAAGGGATTATCATGCCAAGAAAGGCACGCTGGCACGGCTGGCTAGGAAGATCTCACGGACCTGGTCGCGACGCCAAGGTGGTGGGCTGGCTATGAGGACTATTCCAACTAGCCGAGAAGCAGCTTAGAGGTAACATATGCTCTCTTTTCCTTACAAATCACATCAGGATTTTCATAACAGAGCAACCAACTCCTCTCTAAACTATGCTATGCGTGCATCTGAATCCCTGGCTTTTATTCCTTTTATCAAAAATTGTGTGCTGATTTCTTCATATTAACTTCCATATGAAACCGTCTTATAGCAAGGTGCCCTGGGTTTATTTATAGTTCATTAGCAATCTTTTTAATTTTTTTTATTCAAGTATTAGACAATAAAATGCAAATAGAAACAAAATCCAAGAAAATTAAAAAGAGCTGCAGAAAGAAGTGAAAAAGAAAGAAAAAAAATAGCATCTTCCTAGTTTTCAATGCAGTGGAATACCAAAAAAGTTACAGCCTCAACCTTTTGCCATTTCTGTAACAGCAACATAATTTTAATTGTCAAAATCTAAAATTAGAGTTTCATTTTTTTTCAGCTTCAAATACAAAATCGAGAAATTGTTTCCAAATAGAAACAAAACTAGATAAATTCTCTTTAATTAGAATAGTCCGTGCCAACTCTGCCACTTTTACCATCTCTTGTTCCATTGTGGAATCATTTGCAATCCTAACAGTAATTGGGACTTTGGGAGTTCATAGTTAGCCCAGCTCCCATTCCTGTAATATAAACAGGTGCATTGTGTAATCTAGACTAATTTTCTTCTGGGCTTTATTTTTATCTAGTTTGTCATGTATATTAAGCAGCATTAAAAAGAATTACCTCGGCTGATTTTGTAGTCAATGCACAAATAGGGATTGCAATTTACCTTAGTGATTACAGGTACTCTACTTACAACAATTTGTTTAGTGACTTGTTCAAAGTTACAGCAGCAGTGAAAAGAGTGAGTTTTGACTATATCTCCCCCCTCCCCCCAAGATACAGAGGATTCCGGATCTGGGTACCTTCCGTCGCGTGCTTAAGACGTTCCTATTCCATCAAGCTGGCCTGACCTAAACCTTTCCTCTTTTTAAATGGGAATTTTAAATTTGGTTTTAAATTATTGGGGTTTTAAAATGGTTCAGCCAAATTTATTTAATTTGTTTTATCTCCATTTTAAATTTTGTATTTATATGTTTTATTTTATGGCTGTTCACCGCCCTGAGTCCTTCGGGAGTAGGGCGGTATACAAATTTAATAAAATGAAATGAAATGAAATATTTTACAGGACCATTGCAGCATCCCCAAGGTCAGTGATCAAAATTCAGACCCTTGGCAACTGACCCATATTTATGATGGTTGCAATGTGCTAGGGTCATTTTGCAACCTTCTGACAAGCAAAGTCAATGGGGAAGACTGATTCTCTTAACATCCGTGTCACTAATTTAACAGCTGCAGTGATTTACTTAACAACCATGGCAAAAAATGTCATAAAATGGGGCAAAATTCACGTAATAAATGTCTTGCTTAGTAACAGAAATTTGGGGCTCAATTGTGGTTGTAAGTTGAGTAGTAGGGTGTCATTCACAGGGATAGGATTGGATGAATAGCATGACCAGCTACCATTTTTCTTTCCTTGCATGATTTTCTGTTGCTCTCCATCATCATCACGATATCTACTTTGTCACAGATTTCCACATCATGCCAGCATTTTGTGGAATTGCTGTGAAAGAGCTGGTTTCCATTAGTGTAAATAAAGCTGGATTGTGGATCTGACACTTATGAAATTTTTTTCTTTATCTTCCCCTGTACTTTTGTAATTTCCATATTCTTTCACCCTACCATGGTATTATCCTAGTTTCTCATTTATATGTTACCCTGTGGAAGACATTCTCCTTGTCCTTAGCCTGCAGAGCTAGAGGTAAATGGTAGCTACAGCCCAGCCCATCTACAAACCGTCATGCTGGGAAAGGCTGGGTTTAGAGAGACTGGGAAGTCCTCTGCTTTCAACATCTACTGCAAATGAAAGGTCAATGAAAATAATATCTTCTTCAAGTTAACCTTGATTACGGTTGATTTCAAAGATATCTTTTCCAAGGTCATCCAGGATGCTCCCAAGAAACAAATATATGACAGTAACCATATAATTGGAAAGAATCTGTCCAGCATTCAGTCAAATGCAATTCTTCTAGATGTGTTAATTAAGGTTGTCTTCCTGGTTTTCATGCAAAGGTGGTTTTTCAATGAACACAACATGTGTTCATTTGGCTAGCACAGCAATCTCTGCCAATGAGTCTATGCCAGGAACAAATACCTTTTTGACTTTTTGCCAAACTGCTGCTGTGAAGAGCTGGGTGGTGCCCACTAGTGTGATACAATATTGGAAGGGAATCATTAGAATAACAGATTTAAAAAAGCAAACATTTGCACAAGTCATTATATGCCAAAAAGTATACTAAAAAACAATGTATATATAACTTGAGTTCATACAACACGTGATGTTGGTTTGCTAACCAAAGGGTATTAAATTATTATGTGATTTGATTGATTTTGGTGAAATGGTGTAGAGTCTTCTGCTTGGGCAGGGAGTTGGACTAGATGACCTACAAGGTCCCTTCCGACTCTGTTATTCTGTTATTTTGCTATGATATAAATATAGCCCCTAATAGAATGCATCATATAGCTGACTTAGTTTATTGAAAGATAGCTTCTCTCACATCTTTTTAATGGTTGTTCATTATAGACTAGACTTACGGTAGACAGGTATTAATCTAGCCAACAGAGGATTATGCTTTCCGAAGAAAACTCATGGCCAGCTTTTTGCAGCCATTACATAATAGTAAGGAGTACCATATCAGGACTACAATAATGAAGATGATCTCTAGATGGCAGCAAAGAGCAACCGTTTTCTCTATTTCTCTGTTCATCTATTAGTCATCTGGAATTTTTATAGTCCGAATATGATACTATAGGTAATCCTCATTTAGCAATCACAATTGGGACTGGCAAATTGATCATTAAACAAAGTGGTCACTAAGTGAAACTGCAACTATGCTTAGTGGCTTTATTTCAGCTTTCCTTTGCTTTAGAGACATGTGAAGGTTGTAAATGTGAGTACAAGTAGTCCTCTATTTATGACCGCAACTGAGCCCAAAATTTCAGTTGTTAAGTGAGACATTTGTTCAGTGAGTTTTGCCCCATTTTATGACTTTTCTTGCCTCATTTGTTAAGTGAACCATTGCAGTTGATAAATTAGTAACCTGGTTGTTAATCTGACTTCTCCATTGACTTTGCTTGTCAGAAAGTCGCAAAAGGTGATCACATGACCTTGGGACACAGCAACAGTCATAAATATGAACCCTTTGACAAGCCTCTGAATTTTGATCACATGATCATGGGGATACTGCAAAGGTCATAGTTGAAAAATGGTCATAGGTCACTTTTTTCAGTGCCATTGTAACTTTGAACAGTCACTAAATGAATTGTTGTAAATCAAGGACTACCTGCATTTGTCATAAAATTACTTTTTCACCTTCTTGGTAGCTGCGAATGGACAATAATTGAGGCAGTGCTACATAAGGATTACTTGTAACCCTTTACCTGTAAAAATAAAATGAAATAAATAAAATAAAAGAATGAAATGAAATAATAAAGTAAAATAAAATAAAACAGAACACTAACCCTAAATTCAAAATGAAATAAAATACTAACCAATTGGCAATGACTACTAACTGACTAAATACCCTGTTTCCCCCAAAATAAGACATCCCCTGATAATAAGCCCAATCTTTGGGCTTTTGAGTACATGGCAATAAGGCCAAGCACTTATTTCAGGGTTCAAAAAAATATAAGACAGGGTCTTATTTTCAGGGAAACATGGTAGCATGAATCACATATCAACAAGATCCTAATGTTGTGTGTTTGTATGGGTGTTTGTGTATATGGGTGTTTGTATTTACATATACATATACTATAGATACATAAACATATACATTTTATATATATATAGTATTTATCAAGACACATGTTGGACCCACATGTTGATCTACCCCAACATGTGGGAGTAGGCATTCTGCTCCCTTTCGCCTTTCAGCTCCAATCCAGGAGCCCTCAAGCAGTCGCATTCACGACAAACAATTTTATACCAAATTTATCAGCAAAATATCAATTTATCAGCAAAATATCGATTTGATGTATATGTATGTGTGTGTGTGTGTGTGTGTGTGTGTAGGTCTTTGGTTATTCGGGTTTTCTCCCGTGTAAAATTTTACGGGGAGAAAATATACATACATACATACATACATACATACATACATACATACATACATACATATATATATATATATATATATATATATATATAATTTTGCCAACTCTTGTTACTGGAATAGAACTCTGGGTTTTATACAGATGAAGATTCCTAAATATGTATATCCCACTATCTATCACCATCACTTCACTGTGTATAGAGTGTTTTCAAAGCTTTGCCCTTCAACCTGAGACACTTCTGACCATATTCCTCCATTCTTAGGATTGCCAGTCAGGTTTCCTGGTCACAACTACATGCACTGGGTTTTTCTCATTCCCAAGAAACATTCTGTGGAAAGCAGAGGTGGGATTCACTTACCTTCCCTACCAGTTTGCAAATGTGAGCGTGCACGCTTGCTTCGCTCACACGCACCTCCTCTGTGCATGGACACAGCCTTCCACACATGTGCAGTGCTTGCACATTACATCCGGGTGGGTGGGCGGAGCATCCAACAGTCGCTACTACCGGTTCTCCTGAACCGGACAGAACCGGCTGAATCCCACCATTGGTGGAAAGAGAGAGGTTTGGATAACTGATGCATAGATCATAGGAGTCCAAAGTAGACAGTCTTGCTTCTGTGGGCTCCTTGGTGCTCTCTGAGCTTGGTTGTTTACTTGCAAACATTTCATTACCCAACTAGGTAACATCATCATGAAGGTTAATGAAACATCTGCAAGAAAACAACCAAGCTCAGAGATCATCAGGGACCCCACAGTTCAACTCTGAGCTTCAAATATTCTCTTCTATCAGTCTTACTTCTCTTTGACCTCATATCCAGAGCATAAACACTGTGGAATGTACTGTATGTACCATGTCCTCGTTCTTTTTATAGGCAATCCACAATAAAAGGCAAGTGGGGAGGAGATGAAGGCGTAGAAAGTAAAAGCTGTTCTCACAGCAGAAGTGAGAATGAAACTGTGGACTTCCTGTTCCATGGTTCATATGTTAGAGGTTCAATTGGCCACAGCTGCAGTGAACAATCCACCTCATTTTAAGATAGAAGGAAGGCTAATATCTTTCTTCCTTGCAAAAAGAGGATCCTTTAGAAATGCAGTTCAAATCACATACTATACAGCAGTGGTGAAATCAATTTTTTTTTACTACCGGTTCTGTGGGTGTGGCTTAGTGGGCATGGTGTGGCTTGGTGGTGTGGCTTGGTGCCTGCAGCATGGGAAGGATACTGCAAAATCTCCATTCCCACCCCACTCCAGGGGAAGGATACTGCAAAAACTCAATTCCCTCCCCACTCCTGGGGCAAGGATATTGCAAAATCTCCATTCCCACCCCACTCCAGGGGGAGGATACTGCAAAATCTCCATTCCCACCCCACTCCAGGGGAAGGATACTGCAAAAACTCAATTCCCTCCCCCCTCCTGGGGAAGGATATTGCAAAATCTCCATTCCCACCCCACTCTGGGGCCAGCCAGAGGTGGTATTTGCCGATTCTCCGAACTGCTCAAAATTTCCGCTACCAGTTCTCCAGAACCTGTCAGAACCAGCTGGATTTTGTTCCTGCTATACAGGTAATCCTCGATTTACAACCACAATTGAACCCAAAATTTCAATGTTGCTAAATGAGATGTCTGTTAGGTGAGTTTTGCCCCATTTAACAACCTTTCTTGCCATCATTGTTAAGTGAATCATTGCAGTTGTTAAATTAGTGACACGGTGGTTAATTGAATCTGGCTTTCCCCCATTGACTTTGTTTGTCAGAAGATTATAAAAGGGGATCACATGAGCTCGGAAAATTGCAACCATCATAAATATGAGTCAGTTGACAAGCTTCTGAATTTTGATCATGCGACCATGAGGATGTTGCAACGGTCTTAAGTGCAAAAAAACCCAGTCATAAGTCACTTTTTTCAATGCCGTTATGATTCAATCGGTCACTAAATGAGCTGTTGTTAAGTTTAGGACTACCCTGTTTTCCCGAAAATAAGAAATCCCCTGATAATAAGACCAATCGGGCTTTTGAGCGCATGCGCTAAAATAAACCTCCCCCCAAAAATAACCCCTCCCCAAAAATATTTAAACACAGAGCTGGAAATCAGGTAAGACAGCAAGAGGAGCCCCATCTTGCTCCACAGACCCCAAAATAATAAGATCTCCCCCAAAATAAGGCCAAGCGCTTATTTCGGGGTTCAAAAAAATATAAGACAGGGTCTTATTTTCAGGGAAACACGGTACGTGTAATCGAGAAGGCGGGGGACAATTGTGGATGAACTTCTTCATGGCTTCTGCTTCCTTAAACCAAAGTCCGTTCTTTGCCTTCCCTTGAAACAAAGGACTGATCTCAGACTCTCCAATTTTTTATTTTTTATTTTTCTAGGTGTCCTACTGGACCGGATAAAGGTCCTATATGATTAAGCAGTCTCTTTCCTGCAGTGGCCTAGAAGCTGCTTTTAGAGCTCAGGCCTCCCTGTTATTACTTCCCTCACTGACTGCGTTAGTTTATCTTTCAGCATCCTCATTAAACTTTTAATGCCACATATTCGGAGCAGGCCACAGATATCATTTTTCATGTCTGGATGAAACCGGAGACTTCCTCCTGTTGCTCTGCCTTGGATGGCCTTGGCTTGCAAATACAGTCTCCTATGCTACATCTACATCAGGGATCCCCAACCCCACAACTGGGCTGCGGCCTATTCGAAACCGGAGTGTACAAGCAGCTGGGCAGGGCATGTGCAGCTTGACCTGCACGAGCGGTGGGCTGGTTCCCTTCTTCCCCACACTGCTGGGCCACCAAGCCATAAAATTTGGGGACCACTGATCTACATCATTGGTTGAATACAACACAACCATCAACCATCACATGACTTTAAAAAGTTTGGGAAGGCCAACCTTGGGAGAGGCCAATCTCTCTGCCTGGCCAAATGATCTCCCCGGAGGCTACTTGGGGCCTCTTTTAGTAAGTTCTGGTGACTGTGTGCATTTTCCCTCCCTCCCTCTCTCTCTCTCTCTCACAAACACACTCACTCACATGATTGAATTTCGGGCACTTAGCAACCAGCTTGCATTCATAGTCAGTTGCAGTGTCCCGTGGTCACAAAAGACTGCGAGTTCTCCAGTTGTTTTATAGGTGTTCGACATTTATTTCCGACTTCCGGCAAAAATGCCGATTGCAGAAAGCAGGTTTGCTTAACAATTGCTGTGTTCACTTAACAACCACGGTGTTCGCTCAACCACAGGAAAAAAAGGTGCAAAATAAAACCAGGCACAGTCACATGGTGACCTGCTTAACGACTGCCATGACTGACAACTGTAATTCTGGTCTTAATTACAGTCGTATGTTGAGTGGTATCGGTAACATTTCCAGCATTTCCCAGAACAAAATCATTTATCTAGACCTATCGATATATTATATCACCTGAATTCTGGGTCTTTTCCATTCTTTCCATGAGAAACCGATGTGGGTATCTTCTGAACAAAATTTGTCCCTTAAATAGATCATCTCTTAAGCTCAGGGCTTGAAAATTATTGACTCTTTTTCCTCTCTTATCCAAACCTACTCATTATTCCCTTTATTCATGGTAGATGAATATTTGTAAAAAGCTTGTGATTAACTCGGTTTTTTTTTTTGTTTTTGTGCTCTACCTGCAGGATGGATTTAGCTGGACATTCTTCTAAAACTGGACCTCACTGAGAAAAGCATGTGACTCTTCATTCAATACCCTGGAACTCCTGCCCATATCCACATAGTATCTTGTGATATTATTGCTGTACAGTACTGGGTGAATTTTGCTTTCTTTATGTTTATAAATATATAAATATTTAGAGAGAGTGTATACATATATATATATTTAAAGAACCAGGTGTGGTATTATTATTACTTTTCCTTTTACTACCACAGGTAGTCCTCAACTTACGACCACAATTGATCCCAAAATTTCTGTTGTTAAGAGAGACATTTGTCAAGTGAGTTTTGGGAATCACTGCAGTTCTTAAGTGAATCTGGCTTCCCCATTGACTTTGCTTGTCAGAAAATCGCAAAAGGTGATCACATGACCCGGGGACACGGCAATGGTCATAAATATGAACCACTTGTTAAGCATATGGATTTTGATCACGTGATCATGGGGATGCTTCAAAGGTCGTAACTGTGAAAAGCGGTCTTAAGTCACATTTTTTCAGTGCCGTTATAACTTTGAACAGTCACTAAACGAACTGCTGTAAATCAAGGACTACTACTGTAATACTACCATTACTATTCTAAATCCAACCAGTTTCCATTCTTTTTTTAGCCTACTTTCTCATCCTTTCTTGGTTCATATGAGTCTAAAAAACGTCCTGTCCCCTTGAGATTTGTGACGGCAACTTTCTACACATGGGAACGAATAACGATTTTGGGAATAACTTTTTATCTCTAAGCTTTGAAACCAGACAAGCCGTAAGGTAGAAAGTGAGAAGAATACCTGGGGCAGGTTTGAGAGAGGGAGAGCTGAGCAGGGAGAGAGATTCCTGAGCCCTGCGGAAAGGCATGAATTCTTCTGGGGTGCTCATAGATTTAGGTACCCTGACTCAATCAATCAACGTGACAGAAAGAAAACTATACTCTTTTATTGGTGACCATAAATGCGTCAGGAGATTCCAAAATCACGCTAGGGAGGGGGCGGGGGCGGCGGTGGGGCTGGAGGAGGGGCCGGGGGAGGGGCTGGGGGAGGGGCTCCTGGTGGAGCAGGTGGACCACCAGGTGGTGGAGCAGGTGGTGGAGCAGGTGGAGGTTCTCCAGGTGGTGGTGGTGGTGGCGGCGGCGGTGGTGGCGGAGGAGGAGCTCCTGGTTCACCGGGTGGTGGTGCTGGTGGTGCCGGTCCTCCAGGTGGTGCTGGCGGTGGGGGTGGTGCTCCTTCTGGAGGTGGTGGGGGTGGGGGTGGCGGTGGGGGTGGCGGTGGCGGTGGCGGTGGGGGTGGTGCTGCTTCTGGCGGTGGTGGTGCTGGAGGTGGGGGCTCCGAAGGTGGCGGGGGTCCACCTGCAGGTTCTGGCTTCGGTGGAGACTCTTCCGCTAGTTTAATTGGTTCAGGACTGGTTTCAGAGCCAAGCTCCGGACTCCACTGTTGTCCTCCTCCTGGCTCGGGTGAATAGCTTCCTTGGGCCCAGGAATCGAGTAGCTCGTGTCCCTTGTAGTCGTCAGCTTCGCTTTCCTCATCTAAGAGCTTGACTAAGTAATCGGCCATTTCGCTCCCGCCTCGTGACGTCCGAGATGCTTTTTCCTTCTTCTGCAACTCTTTAAATCTCCTGTGTGGGAAAGAAGAACATCAGAATCGGGGACGGGAAGTAAAAGATGTGCCTGTGTGCATTTTATTTACAGATCTTTCACATCCTGGACATAAACTGTTTCAACTCCTACCCTCAAAACGATGCTATAGAGCACTGCACACCCAAACAATTAGACACAAGAACAGTTTTTTCCCCAAATGCCATCACTCTGCTAAACAAATAATTCCCTCAACACTGTCAAATGATTCACTAAGGCTGCATTTCTATTACTATTAGTCTTCTCATCGTTCCTATCACCCATCTCCTCCCACTTATGACTGCATGAGTGTAACTTTGTTGCTTGTATCCTTACAATTTATATTGATATTGTTTCCTGATTGCTTATTGTACCCTATGACTATCGTTAAGTGTTGTACTTTATGATTCTTGATGAATGTATCTTGTCTTCTTATGTACAAATTCCTTCTTATGCAAATTCCTTGTGTGTCCAATCACACTTGGCCAATAAAAAATTATATTCTGTTTTGTTTTGTTTTGTTTTGTTTTGTTTTGTTTTGTTTTGTTTTGTTTTGTTTTGTTCTGTTCTATTCTATTCTATTTCTTGCAACAACTTTCAGCTGTTACGGAAAGGAAGGATTTCAACACAGAACAAGGTTACAAGGTTACAATCTCTTGGCTGTGAGTTCTAGAACTGCCTTAGGAATGAAAGCCAGCTGGGGATTTTGGGCTGATCACTAGGAGATTTTAGTTCTAGTGAGTCCTATCTTAGGCATGAAAACCAACAAGGCACTTTGGGCCAATCACCAGGAGACAGTGAGTTCTACTCCCACTTTAGGCATGAAAGCTAGCTTTTGTCTTCTACAGGGAGCATTTTCCACACCTCCTATTATTTGATTCCAACAGAAAAGCTGTAATATGGATAGTTTTCTAGATATGATCTGAAAATATGGGAGCCACCAAACCCCCCAAAAAGTGCAGAATGCAATTGCTGCCTACTGAATGCTCAACTCCCACAAATCTCAGAATTGAGCAAAAAAAAAGAGTAAAGTACGTACAGGTAATCCTCTACTTATGATTGGAATTGAGTCCGGAATTATAGTTGTAAATTGTGCTGGTCATTAAGTGAGACCAGCCTGATTTATTTTTTTTGCAGCAGTTGTTACGCAAATCACCACGGTTATTAAATGAATTTGCAATCATTACCCAACTGCTGCAGTCATTGAGCGAATCCACTGTCCCATTGTTTTTGACAGTTTCTGACAAAAAGACCCATAGATCCCAGTCATATGACCACAGGATGCTGCAAACAGTCATAAATGCTGACGTATCGTCAAGCACCCAAAATGCAAACATGGGCGATAAGGAGATATTAAAATTTCAAATCTGTACCTTATTATTATTTTTTTTTGTGCTCGATCGTAATTTGAATGGTCACTAAATGACCGGTTGTAAATTGAGGACTACCTATTTCTGCTCAGGGTCCTGATGTTTTGATGACTAAAACCCCAAAGAATGAATCAACAAGTTATGCCAATCAATGCTGAAAACTGCCTCCCCATAATGTCCTACAACACAATATGGTAGCCAGGTTCTACAAGTACAAGGACCAAAAACCTACCAGGAGAAAAAGATACACAAGAGGATGGTGAGAGTAACAAGGATTCCTCCAAGAATGCCTGCATTGCGCCGTTGTTTGTCAACTGCAAGGGGAAAAAAACAACAACAGATGTTGCTCAGGCTGAGATGTGAGGTCAGAAGGTGTCAAATTGTAGGAACTTTTTGCAAAGCTCTGGTTTCCCTACCCCTTGATAATGGTTGTGGCAGTGTGATCAGCAATATGCAATTGTATGCAGGACTGGGGCACCTGCTGAGTTGTGCAACTGAAGACGGCAGTCCCCACGTTACGATTTTTAATGTCCTACGGTGTCATTGAATGAACCCATGGGGGGAACTTTGTGGGATATTGGGGACAGCCTGGGGGGTCTTCCTCGGCTTAAAATGACTGCTTAGAGAGCTGGTGGCAACTAGCCCGAAGAATCTTTGCGTGGGTCCATCTTATGTACCTATTGCACCCATTCCTAGAATAGGAGGCCCTTCAGACTGTCAGTTGTGCCCTCCTCACCTCACAATCAGGAGTATTGCAAAATGGTCTACTGGGGCTGCATCTGAAGACCATCCAGAAGTGACAACTCGTCAAAAGACATGCAGTAGCACAAGCAGTAATGTGCCTCCATATGTCCATGTGCCATTACTGCTCTGTCACTTCCCTGGTTTGCCAGATGGCTTCTGGGTGCAGTTCAAAAGTGCTGGTTTTCACCTATAAAATTCTTTATGGAATATGGCTATTTGAGGTATCACCTGTAAATGGGGTGGGTTGGAGGAATGCTGCATCCCCTAAATTAAGCAGTGTTGTCTAGTGGGATCCCATTTTGTCTAGTGGGATCTCATCATTCCTATCACCCATCTCCTCCCACCTATGACTGTATGACTGTAACTGGTTGCTGTATCCTTAACGATTTATATACTGATTGTTTCCTAGTATGATTTAATTGCTTATTTGTACCCTATGACTATCATTAAGTGTTGTACCTTATGATTTTTTACGAATATATCTTTTCTTTTTATGTACACTGAGAGCATATGCACGAAAGACAAATTCCTTGTGTGTCCAATCACACTTGGCCAATAAAGAATTCTATTCTATTCTATTCTATAAGTGTACCTTCTCCATCACAACATCTGTCTGAAAAAGCATCTCACCAACTATTCAGGTGGACAACTATTTTTCTGGAATGGTATAGGATCTCCTGCTTCAGCACGGGGTTGGATTAGAAGATCCCTTCCAACCAGTGGTGGGATTCAGACAGTTCGCACCACTTCGGGAGAACTGGTTGTTAACTTTCTGAGCTGTTTGGTGAACTGGTTGTTGGAAGAAATCATTAGGGCAGAGAACTGGTTGTTAAATTATTTGAATCCCACCACTGCTTCCAACCCTATTATTCTATGTTCTATGTGGCTTGAACTCTACAAGAGTTACATAAGATTTTGAAAATCTGGCTTTGCTCCAGGCCTAAAATGGATTCCTTAGAATGTTTGTTGTTATTTGTTTGTTTATACATCTCTTTTTCAATTGTTTGGTTTTGGTTCCCCCCCACCCCACCCCTTTTGACTATGCAAAATGCCCAGTGTTATTTGGGAGTCAGGCAGCCTTCCAATCTAAATAAATAAATAAATGAACATTGGTTAATAGTCCACAATTTAGCACTTCCTGTAACACCTGGGAGAAAATACCATTGAAAGGAGAGGCAGGACAGCTATCCCCAGCAAGGCCTACATGGTCTTTGTCTGAGAACTCTAATTTATGGAAGAACTTATTTCATAGAGTATATATAGTACTTGGACATTATTTTCTCAGCTCCAGGATTCCTGTCCAGTTCAAAGGGTTGTAATGATAATATCTATCATGCTTCTCCTACTTTTTTTTTTTCTGGCCAATCTCTGGACTGATTTTATTTTGTTCCGTATGTAATGCCTTTCAGCAATAACTTGTCGTGAGGTTTATAATTTAATGTGCACAACATTAAAAAAAAAAAAAGAATGCAAGATCAATGAAATACATGCAGCAGAATCCAGTGGAAAAACAGTATTATTTTCTGGAGTTGGGCTGATGGGGTTGTCTATGTCAACATTTTGTTTATCCCAAGAAAATGTGTAGAAAATAAGCATGTGAGGATGATGACTCCAACTTAATCTATGATATTCTCCCATCCCCAGATAACATGCCGTCATGCAATGTGAAGGGGTCCAGCCCACAAACCGCATTCAAATATTATTGACAGTTTTTTGGGGGTGGAGTGGGGGGTGCAGTCAAGCTTCTGTTGACTTCTGCACCTGCCTGGACAAATTCCTGAAATTGTACTAGCAACATTTCAGAAGTGGTTTGCCATTGCCTCCTTCCAAGGCCAGAGAGAGAATGACTGGCCCAGGATCACCCAACTAGCTTTGTACCTAAGGTGCAGGAGTGAAATGCTCCCAGTTCAGACCGGATTGCCTGATCCGGTAGCGATGGTGGCGGGTGGTTCAGAGAACCGGTAGCAAAAATCCCTGCCCCCCCCCATGCCCAGCTGAGCTGCGTGATCATCAGAGGCTTTTTTTTTTTTTTTTAAAGGGATCTTCGGCTGAAGAGGTTGTTAAAAAAATATTTTTAAAAGGTAAAAAAAAGCCTCTGACGATCACAGCTGAGCCGCATGATCGTCAGAGGCCTTTTTTTTAACTTTTAAATGCAATGCTTTTAAATGTTAAAAAAATATTGTGTGCCACAGCTGATCACCCCCACCTCGCGCGCTGTTCTACTTAATGCACGTCTCCTTTTGGCGTGCACTGTGTGCGCGCACCTCGCATTTGGTGCGTGGTGTGTACAGTGCATGCGCAGCCAGCAAACTGGTAGTGAATCGGTTCAGATTTCACCACTGCTAAGGTGGGACTAGAACTCTCAGTCTCCTGGTTTCTATCCTGATTGCCTTAACCACTACACCAAACAGGCCCTCATTGGCAGTACAAATAGACCTTAAAATAAGCTGCCTGAAATGCATTATCCTGCACTACCAACCCACATATAATAAATAGCAGAAGAGCGAGGCAATCTGGTCAAAGAGTATACAGCATTGTCAAACTCCACCCTGCTTTTTTTCTACTTTGTGAGAAGAATACCAGTCTATCAAGTCAGTGGAAAATTAAACTCCCCCAGTCTCAAGGGCAGTCTGTGTAATTTTGATTCTAGTTATCTCAGCAGTGGAAAAGCTAATCCTGAGCAATGTTAGTTAAACGATTTCCACCAGTATATCATTTGCTGGACAGTGCAGCTTCTAACTGCAAATAAAAATGTCCCTCATATTTAATGGTCAGCTAAAAATTAAAAAATTTCAGTTGGCAGCTTGTTTAGCTTTGTTTCTTCTTGAAAAGAAGAAATTTATTCTTGAAAAGAATAACCCCCAGTATGGATTGTTAGGGAATAATAGGGTTCCAGCCTAGCTTTTTCTGCAACATATATGTTTCCTTATGTGAAAAAGGCACTATTTGGGGAAAGCTTTAGATGTGAGGGTTCCTTCACCCCACTGATAAATGTAGTTATCAAACCACTTCTAGGTTTTCCTGTAGCATTTCAGTGTCCTTCCGAAACAAAGGAAGTTAAATGGAAGAGATATGAGTCCCTTAATTCTACAGCCTTACTGAACTATTTTAAGTTGGTCCAACGAACCTCTCTATTTCAAATGGACAGAAGGAATAACCATAGAGAGAAGGAATGGACAGAAGGAATAACCATGAGGAATATGAAGGAGAGACATAACAGTCAGATAAAAGAAACCATAAATAAAAGCCAGATAAAATAAAAGCCAAAGGTCAGATAAAAGAAACTTGAGTCCAGGGCCAATCTGTAACTCAAGGAAGCATTTTGGACAAGACCCAGTCCACTGACATGAAGATAAAGGAAGGGAGGAGGGAAGCTCATGTAGACTTTCAGAATTCCTATGAATTTATAATAAAAGTAGTATAAACATGCATAATTTTGGTTTCCTAATCTGATCTACCTTGGAGGAATGACACCTTGTTGTAATAGGGTCCACCATATCATATTCTGCATCTTCTTTGGAGAGCCACTGGGGCCTCCTCTAGGTAAAGGTAAAGGTTCCCCTCGCACATATGTGCTAGTCGATCCCGGCTCTAGAGGGCAGTGCTCATCTCCATTTCAAAGCCGAAGAGCCAGTGCTCTCTGAAGACATCTCCATGGTCATATGGCCGGCATGACTAAACGCCAAAGGCACACGGAACGCTGTTACCTTCCCACCAAAGGTGGTCCCTATTTTTTCTACTTGCATTTTTTACGTGCTTTCGAACTGCTAGGTTGGCAGAAGCTGAGACAAGCAACGGGAGCTCACCCAGTTATGCGGCACTAGGGATTTGAACCGCTGAACTGCCAACCTTTTGATCGACAAGCTCAGCATCTTAGCCGCTGAGCCACCACATTTTGCATATAGTTACCTCTAGGTATCTACATGCAAAACTGGGAACAGGATTGCTTCTAATGAATCCCAAGGAGCTTTACGGAGCAATGCCTAAGAAGCTTTATGGAGCAATCATTTCCACATTCATTCCTATTCCTAGTCATGGCACATTCATATTTGGCAGAACGTGGTATGGATGAATCAGGGAAATATTTGTGTTCCTTATTGTCAATTATGTCACAGGCATTGACCAACTGGGACCTGTGACACTTAAACAGCCAGCGCTTCAAAAGCCTCTCCAAATCACAATGCTCCCACTTATTAAGAAAAACAGAAAATGTTTTCTCCAAGTACAATGTACCATTTATGTTTATAGAGCAGATGCAAACTGGTTTGGCTGTCATGCTATCTCCTAAGAAAATGACATTGCTTGGAAAGGGGAAAGCTGAGAAGACCCTTCCAACTGACAATCACCAATGTTTCAAAATTGCAACACCTATTTTAGAGATGTCTAACCTTGGTGACGCGGTGGCTCAGTAGCTAAGACACAGAGCTTGTCGATCAGAAGGTCAGCAGTTCAGCGGTTCGAATCCCTAGTGTCGCATAATAGAGTGAGCTCCCGTTACTTGTCCCAGCTTCTATCAACCTAGCAGTTCGAAAGCACGTAAAAAATGCAAGTAGAAAAATAGGGACCAGCTTTGGTGGGAAGATAACAGCGTTCCGTGTGCCTTTGGCGTTTAGTCATACTGGCCACATGACCACGGAGATGTTTTCGGACAGCGCTGGCTCGTTGGCTTTGAAACGGAGATGAGCACTGCCCCCTAGAGTCGGGAATGACTAGCACATATGTGTGAGGGGAACCTTTACCTTTATCTTAACCTTAGTGACTTTAAGATTTGTGGAGGTCAACTCCTAGATTCCCCAGCCAGTATGACTAAGTGGGGAATTAAACTCCACAGGTCTTAAAAGTTGGACATCTGACCTACCTTCTCAGCTAGTATATCTGAGAAGCCTCAACCCATTGGCAGGGCAGCTTGCTGGGGAAGGCTAACAAGGAACAAGCTACTAATCCAGTCTTTCTCCATCCTCCAGGCTAAGAGTTGTACTCTAAACACAGCTGGAAAGCATCCTTTGAGGAAAGCTTTTCAAGGTCTTTTGGACATTTCTTCAAACTACAACCTCCAGAATCCTTTGCTGGAAGTCACCTAAAGGTAAAGGTAAAGGTTCCCCTCGTACATATGTGCTAGTCGTTCCTGACTCTAGGAGGCAGTGCTCATCTCCGTTTCAAAGCCGAAGAGCCAGTGCTGTCCGAAGACGTCTCTGTGGTCATATGGCCGGCATGACTAAACACCAAAGGCGCACGGAATACTGTTCCTTCCCACCAAAGGTGGTCCCTATTTTTCTACTTGCATTTTTTACGTGCTTTCGAACTGCTAGGTTGGCAGAAGCTGAGACAAGCAATGGGAGCTCACCCCATTACGCAGTACTAGGGATTCGAACCACTGAACTGCCGACCTTTCGATTGACAAGCTCAGTATCTTAGCCACTGAGCCACCATGTCCCTATTGTCACCTAGATATGACATATTATATGTCATATGACATATGACATATAATCTACTAATTGTCACCTAGATATGACAATTAGTAGAAGTTTATAGTGAAAATACTCGCAAAGGGACATGGGAGAAAATGGCCTTCTTGAAACAGATTTGGTTCCTCAGAAAGAAAGTAACTAGACATGGGCATTAACAGGAGCAGCAATTTCTGGATTGTTCTTGGTTTTACCATCAAGAACGTGGAAGTAGCAGGAGTTATTCAGATAACAGCATCCTTTCAGTAAGCATTGGTGAGGGTAGAAAATCTCTGCTTCACCACCACAGAGTTTTTTCGATGTGGCGTCCAGTCGGCAGGCTAGAAGAAATGGAGAACATATCACCTAAGTATCTGTCTCATTTTGTTCTTCCCTCTTGCCAACACTAACACAAAGACATAACTCAGCACAGTTGTGGTATCTAACATTATGGCTTCACATGTTGTGTTGACGTAAAGACCATGAGGGAAGACTCACTATGCCTTGCTGGGAATTTCCCAGAGGCATTTAACCAGACATTCTTGAAAACTGACCAAATCATAATATTAATCAATCAAATAGGGAAATAATTTTTTAATGAACTTTTGTACTTATTTCTGGATGCAAACCACCCAAAAGCAAGTAGAGCGGAGCTGAATGTGCCTGTTAACTGTAAACAAAAAAAAGCTTAATTGGAGCTAAAGGTGACAGGCAGCCATATTTAACTATAAGAAGGCCTCTTTAATGATAAAGCAAAATGTCAGATGATGGAATGGCAGCTTTCTACATTATAAGGTCCATGCAAGTAAAGAGTCCTAAACTACATCTTCACCTGCCTTACTTTGCTGCCCTCTTTTGTATTACATTAGTGGCCACATCATGTCCTTCCTGCAGTCCTCTCTTTAAGGCTGGCTAGTTCAAATCTAAGACAATTGGAAACTAATCAAGTAGAGAACCAATCTAAACTAAGGAGACGCTACCTGGGCCTCAGGGGTTGGAAACCCAGGGAGAAACAACTATTTTATCTCCAAACTCTACCCCTGCCTTCTCTAAACTGCGATAGTCGCTGATATGCTAGATTGATCACATGGCCCATCATGGCTTCAAGATATTTGAAAGTATCTAGTTGGGGAAGGCTTATCTGTAGTCCTGGGTTGCTTCTTAGAAGAATTGGGCATCACAGTTGAAAATACACTGAATACTCAAAATGAGAAATGGTCCTTTGATTTAGCAGCAAGGGAGGAATTTCCACGATGGGCCATCCCAGTGTTGTGGCCCGCCAGCGGCCTGCGTGGATCGTGGCTGATCCCGACGACGAGGAGGCTGATGTGGTGTCGCGCCAGCAGCCTGCGCTCGCGTCGGACATCGAGGAGGCTGAAGAGGATGTGGTGCCAGAGGCAGAGACTCAGCCCGGGCCTTCAGAGCCTCCAGAGGCTCCTTCAAGTGGAGAGAGCGAAGTGGAGGAGCCTCTCCTCAATGCTCGAGCACGCAGAAGGCATGAGTGGTTACTCAGGAGGAGGAAGTCTCCTCGAGAGTAAGGCTTGAGGCTCAGTGGCCATTCCCTTAGCCTATTTAAGTCACACGCCGTTAGTAAGTTTCTTGCTAGAAACAACTTGTAATTATCATTAGAGCATTTTTGGAAAAGTCTTATCGTATCTTGCTTTCTGGACTGGCTGCCAATCTTTGCCGGACTTTGGTTTATTCTTGCTACTTAATAAATTTGATAAGGACCGTTGGTGTGTGTCAATATCCTCGGGAATCCGGAGCTGGGGCAGAACACCAGTCAGAATATTGCTTCTGTTTACATTTCACCATGGAAAGCTCTAAAGGAGCACTATTAAGGCCAGGACCACTTGATTTATCTCTAATTCCATTCCCTGAGTTTAACAGTAACAGAGTTAGAAGGGATCTTGGAGGTCATCTAGTCCAACCCGCTGCTCACGCAGGAGACTAGGGATTCGAAACTCCCACATTCAAGAACAATTCGAACCAAGGTACAAAGCTGAGTTTCCTCAAAGAATTATCTTTCTTTGCAACAAGACCAGGTACTGATGTTGATCCCAAAGCCGAGCCTACCGCCCAGACTACAGTGTATTCATGGTCAACATTACAGATGTCCCCCCAAAACAGCAATGTTGACACATGGGGCTGTGCTTCCTCTTGTTGCCTCCAGAGGGAGCACTCTGACCTTTTTGAATGCAGCCTTTGGGCTAAATGTTTTAAGGAGAGGGAAAAAATGAGCACAAATTGAAAAAGGAAATAATAAACGCTGGATTTTACTCACTGAGAGGCCTGAAGAAACTTCCATTAATACCTGGTGGGAGGAAAGGGCACAAAATCAGAAAGGAGGAGGAGGAGGAGGATAACGAGGAGGAGGAGGATGGGAGAGGCAGTCCCTTGCTGGTGTCCCCTCCCACTGCAATGCTTCTTGAAGCTGATTCCTTCTTCTCTTACCTTTCAAAACCAGCACTAGATAAATAAATAAAGCCAGGCTAGGCTGGCTCATATCTCTCTCCCTTTAGGGATGTCAGTTCCATGTGGGGCAGATGCCCACTGCAGGCTCCTCACAGGAACTGGGGAAAGATTGGTAAGCCGATCTTCAAATTGTGCAGTCTGGGTGGGCCTGGGGAGGAGGCTGGGCTGTGGCGTGGATGGTGTCAGAATCGCAGAGAAGTGTCATAGAACCTGGGGGTTCTAGAATGGTCACTTAGCAACCAGGCGCCTGGGCTCAGGGATTCAGGATCCAGAGCAGGCCAAACCCATTGTGAGAGGTAGAGATGGACTGCACTAGCAAGGGGGAATGGGATAAAAACTCATCCCCGCACCGATCTTGCTGCTTCCTCTCCACAGGCCATAAGGAAGGTTAGGTTACTCCAGGTCCCCTCACTGAGGATCATCGAGCATATTGATGAGCAGTTTCAACCTGGAGTTACAATGCTAATCTTTCCCAATCTTAACTGGAGTGGGGTGATGGTCTCCGGCCTTCTGATTTATGGCAACTTGTTCCCATGCTGAGTGGATGGATGCAAAGCTTTAAAACAGAGCAAAGAGACAGGTTTATGCTGCAGGGAACTTGCAAAGTACAAAAAAGAAAAGAAAAGAAAGAAAGGTGTGTGTGTGTGGGGGGGAATAACAGGAAGAACAAGAAAACACGGATTTTGAGTGACACGATGTTGTGGAGTCTTTTTTAAAAAAGGCAAAGTTGTGGTGAACTGCTGAAAAGTTCTGCTATTGCATTAGATACCCCTCCTGTCTTTCATCTGTTATTCCGGCTATTTTTAAGCACAGTTTTAGTGCTTTTTTAAAGCCCTGGAAGGTAGCATACCCTAGAACCGTGATGGCGAACCTATGGCACGCATGCCACCTGTGGCACGCAGAGCCGTATTGGTGGGCATGCGAGCGTTGCCCTTGGCTTAACTGCAGCACGCATGTGCAAGCTGGCCAGCTGATTTTCGGGCCTTTTAGGCCCACCGGAAGTGGGCTGTTTCCGGCTTCTGGAGGCCCTGGGGGGAGTGGGGAAGGCTGTTTTTGCCCTCCCCAGGCTCTTAGAAAGCCTTTGGAGCCTGGGGAGGGCGAAAAATGGGCCTACCTTGCCCATCACATGACAAAAGCGGTGGGAAGACTGAGGGATCACACGCGCATACGTGGGGGGCAGGGCGCATTGAATTATGGGTGTGGGCACGCACACGCGCAACAACCCTGCACTCCCCCTGCTTTTGGCACGTGATGGCAAAAAGGTTAGCCATCACTGCCCTAGAATCTCTCAGGATGTGTGTTAGGTTAGAAGTTGATTGCTTTAGTCTGGAAAGATTCTGTCCATTCAGTGTATGCAAATAAAGGATTGGATTTCATTGGATTTTTTTTTGTATGTCGTCTCTGGGCTGGGGTCTGACAAACCTGCAAAAAATAGTCCTGAAAATAGTTGATGGATAATGGAGGCGGGGGGGGGGTGGCATGATAAAGCTGGTTCTGAGAGGTACTGGGGGCTGCGGGAGGGCTGGAGAGGAGGCCGATGGTATGAAGAAAGCTGGTGTTTTAGCAGCTGTATCTCGTCAATGGCTATTAATGATTCAGTGACATCTCTGCTCAGTGCTGAATGCTGGCATTTTTGTGCTTAGGACAGATCATAGACTTGAGAAATTTCAATTAGCCCAAGAGGGAAACAGAACTACAAATTTTGCAAGAAGAACCCACGGGTGTTCAAATTTGAGAAAATTATGCTACTACAAGTAGTCCTCGACTTACGACCACAACTGAGCCCCAAATTTCTGTTGTTAAGTGAGACGTTTGCTAAGTGAATTTTGTCCCATTTTACGACCTTTCTTGCCACAGTTGCTAACTGAATCACTGCAGTTGATAAGTGAGTAACCCGGTTGTTAATTGAAACTGGTTTCCCCATTCACTTGGCTTGTCAGGTCGCAAAAGCAGATCACATGACCCCGGGACACAACAATGGTCATAAATATGAACCAGTTGCCAAACAGCTGAATTTTTTTTATTATTACTGTTTTTATTGTTTTAATATCACAGATTCCATTTCTAAATTGAACAGTGTGCTTTCTAGGTAACAAAAGTGTTAACATTTAAACATTCTCATAATCATTATGCTCAGAGATGGGATTAACTTACTTTCCCTACTAGTTTGCAAATATGAGCGCTTGCACATGCTCGCTTCACTCACTCGCAGCTCCTCTGTACATGCACATGGCCCTCTGTGCATGCACAGTGCTTGCGCATTACGTCCAGGCAAGTGGGCGGAGCCTCCTGCAGTCACTGCTACCTGTTTGCCTGATCCAGAGAGAACTGGCTGAATCTCAGCACTGATTATGATCGTATCAACATACAAACATATGGTAGATATTATCAATCATTGTTATAAAGTATACTATCTTCCATATTAACATCAATTATATAAGCATCAAAATATTTACTAATCAATTTTTCTTTCTCATGTAATCCATATTTCACATAACGCCAGGTTAACACTAAAAATTAAAGAAAAAGAATATTCTGAATATTTTATGACATGGGAACTTTTTTATAAATGGTTAGTCAATAGGTACAGAGATCATATGGCTGGGTTTATGCAAACAGCTGAATTTTGATCACATGATCATGGGGAAGCTGGAAAGATTGTAACTGTGAAAAACAGTCATAAGTCACTTTTTTCAGTGCCATTGTAATTTTGATCGGTCACTAAACGAACTGTTGTAAGTCGAGCACTACCTGTACTCAAGGATCAGCAGTGTTTTAACACTTTTCTATCCCATGGCCTAGAGAGGAGGTTGATGGTATGAAGAATGCTGATGCTTTAGCAGCTGTGTCTTCAATCTATGGGGCCTTATAAAGCATTAGACCACTGCTGGTCTTTGCATAGTATGCATAATTTTCTCAAGTTTGAACCCCCATGGGTTCTCCTTGCAAAATTTCTGGTTCTGTTTCCCTCTTTGGGCCAGCTGAAATTGCTCAGCTGGCCCAGATCTATGATCTGTCCTAAGCATAGAAAATGCGCATCACTCAGCACTGAGCAGAGATGTCATTGAGTCATTAATAGTCATTGAGTAGCATCATGGTTTAGCTTCGGAAGGGATCCTGAGTGGTCATTAGCATGCCATCCAGGAAACAGAAGATGTCCTGTCTTTGTACCTGGCTTCTGGTTATCTGGGTTTTATGATTCAAGGAATAAAGATGATTCGAGATGGGTCACTTTGTAATTCTGGATTGATTCAGCCAAAACAATTCTTGAGTCTTTGGGATTCATTCAGGTAGCCTGGAGTAAAATCCCCATTTGTGTGTTGTGGAAAAGATCAATGGGATCTCCTCTGTATAATGAAAGTACCTGGACAGATGTTGCCAGAAAGGAAGAAGAGGGGATTATAAGAAGCTCTTGGATTATTTATATACAGACCCTGAGTTGAAGGCCTGTCACAGGGTGTGTAGAAATTGCCTGAAAACAGAACATTTAATTCCCCTAAATCATAGTAAAATGAAAAAGTAATTGAAAAGAAAGTAAAAATCGGGATTGCTCGAATACCACTTTGGAAAATACTAAATTGAAAATGAATACAACAATAGAGAGAGGATGGAGGGGGATAGAGGAGAGAAGAGAGGAAGAAAGAGAGGGAAAACAAGAGTAGGAGAGAAGGTTAGAAGGGAGGAAGAAGGGAGGTGTGGGGGAAAGGAAGGGGAAGGAGAGGGAGAAGAAGGATTGTTGGAAAACAAGGGAGATGAAATGGTAGAAGAGCAACCCCGAATATAATTAAATTGTTTAGGATGAAGATTATATTAGTATGAAAGTTAAAAAACAATATGTATATTAGATAAGAAACTGTACATTTAAGATATGTTGATGAGAAAAATAAAAAACTTTTTCAAAAAAAATATATAATTCCCTTAAATCAGAATTCTCCAACTTTCCATCTTTTCAGACTGAGGGGTGGGTGGGTAGGAGAGGCGATAGTTCTGTGTGAGTGGCAGGCAAGCTTTGGGCGGCCCAGTTCTCAACAGCTCACAGCCCAGAAGTGGCCCGTGGGCGTGGTCCAGGGGTTGGGGACCCCTGCCCTAAATTAACATGTTTTAAATAACTTCCTCTCCCCAGAAAAGTTTTCTTTCAAGCGGGCTGCTTTAATTCGGCCTGCTGATCTCAGCCCTCCTCCCTCTTTCCATGCCCCTACTTATGACTTTACCCCACACAGCCAAGGATCGAAGATGGATATTTATGCTTGGTTCTCAAACAGGACGCCAACTTTCAAATTCCCAGCAGCTTGTGGCTCCATTGTTCTTGGCGCCCCGCAGCACAGAAGGGAATCTAATCAAGAGTTATTAAATGCAAATACAGCCTCCGTTCTCTTCATGTCAGACTCATAAAACATGGAGGTTGTAGTTTATTGGAAACTGAGGTCATAGCTACAGAGCCCCAGGGGAAATGATGGGATCCAACAGCATCTTCCCAGCTGTGACTGACATGTCATAATCTGAAGGGACACCAGTTTCACACACACCCTCCAGTAACTAGAGGCAGTCCTCGACTTACGACCCTACTGGAGCTTGTCAATTAGGATGGTAAATTGGGACAGTTGTAAAGTGGATCACCAAGTAACCGACCTTATTTTACGACTTTTGTTTTATAGTGATCATAAAATGAACAATGCAGTCATTAAGAAACCCCCACAGACGTTAAAACGAATCCATTGTTTGCCAGGGGGTGTTTTTGCCCCAAACCGGAAATAAAAGCTGATTTTCAGAAAAAAATTAAATCGTGGTCACATGACAGGGGAGTCTGCAAAAGGCCATGAATGTCGGCCAGCAGCTGAGTGCCCAAAATGTGACCATATGACTGTGGGACGTCAGAATGTCTGTGTCATAAGCACCTTTTGGAGGGGGTCTGTAGGAACTCAAACGATTGCTAAGCAACCGGTCATAAGTCAAGGACTACCTGTACTGGGGTCTCCTCCATTACCTTAAAAAAATGTGGTCTAGAAATTAAAATGGACTTTGGAGACAGCTAGTTTTTACATCTTGTTCAAGAGAAACAATAATTTTCTGATTGTTCCTCAGCGTTCATATCGTGTCCCCTTGCAGAAGGGGAAATATTTATTCACAAAGGACATTTAAATTCCAATCCTCTCTGCCAGAATTACCCAAGGTGAACTTAAGCATGGTTTATTCCATTAATCCAATTTTCACCATTTGTACAACAGATTGACCCATATATTAACTGCAAGGATT